AAGGTTAAGTGACTTAGTCACCAAAGTCACACAGCTAGTAAGTGTCTGAGATCAGATGTTAACTCAGGAATGAAAATTGGAGGTTTGGGTGAGGGTTCGAAGATCTCCCATTCTTGTCTGAGAGGGAGAAGGGGTTTCCCGAGAGGTCCTCCCTCCATCTCATTAGGGTCCTTTGTTACCAGCAGGAGCAGGGAGGAGGAGGATGCCCTGGAGCAGGCTCGGAGGGCTCATGAAGAGGTCCGGAGGCGTCAGGAGCAACAGCAGCAGCGATCAGAGCAGCAGCAGCCACCTGTGGCTGCAGCCTCCTCAGCTCCCCAAGCACAAAGCTCTCAGCCCCAGGCCTCCCAGTCAATGCTGGATCAACAGAGGGAGTTAGCCAGGAAACGGGAACAAGAGCGAAGGCGCAGGGAGGCGGTGAGTTGAAATACATTCTAGAGAAAAGATAATAAGTATTCTGGTTACTGGGCTGTCTGACTTCGCAAATAGCAATGCCTTAAAATGAGACCTGTTGACCTATGTGTTTTTAAATCTCTCTGTGTGCTCTCATAATTGAGGTGATTACTTGGGAGCCTTGGGTAGGAGAGAGACAGACAGACAGAGGCATCAGTGTGGGACGGGGGAAAGACGTTTGTCAGAGGCAGCAGGGTTTATGCTAGATAATACCCTGAAAGAGCAAAGTTTAGAGTCTGGGAACTTTCCATGAAGTCTCTGGGTTGAGCAAAGGTGTGAGGTGCCAGCCTGGCTAAGGGAGCAGCTTGGGTACAGGAAGGGAAGTGGCTCGCTGTTAAAACATGGCTTCTAATTTTCCTTTTCTCCTCTCTCTCTCTCTCTCTAGATGGCAGCTACCATTGACATGAATTTTCAGAGTGATCTTTTGGCAATATTTGAAGAGAATCTTTTCTGATAGCGCCTGGGTTTCTTCTGACTCTGATTTTCTGGCAAAACTGACTCTGCCTAGTGTTACTGGTGGCTGGGAGGGGGTGTCCCTTGGGCCCAGCCCTTGTGCATGTTCCACCCGTCGTGGGTCTGTCAGCCAAGGATCAGCAGAGTCTGCCTTACCGTTGGACTTCCCCACCCCCTGCACACACTGAAGTCAGACCCAACCTCAAGCAAGCGCTGGACCAGGTGGTTCTTAGGCATGAGTGAGGTCCTCCTCCATGCCAGACGTATTCACAGTATATCCAGGATGTCACATTCTTCACCAGTTTTCTAACCATGAGAGGAGCCCCTTGAGGGGCACCTATCTCCCTCCCTGGTATCATTTACCAGTATCTCTACCCCACACTGTAAGACCAGGGGTTGCAGAGGTAGCCCATGGAGAACAGGAGCCCACCGATGTTGTTGGGAATGGGGGGGCGGGAGGAGGGAGAATGACAGTTGGGACCATCCCCCAGCTGCCTGAAGTCCCTAGTCACTGGCTTTGCCTTGAACAGAATCCCACCCTGCCCTCTTCCCCTTCGAGCCTTTAACCGAGAGCCGTTCTCTGTAAGTGTTCGCTTGTGAAAAAGGGAATAGTCCAGTGGAGGTGTGTGAGTGTCCATGGCCATTTGGAGTGAGGTGGTCGTCGTAGCACGCGTGTGTGGAGGCCTCGCCTGGGAGCGAGACTACCAACCAAAGTCAGTTCCTTTCCGCCTTTGTTTTTTTTTTTCTTTCTGCCTTCCTTCCTTTCTGTTCCTTTTTAAATTTTATTTTTTAATTTTCCTTCAGACACAAAGGCACTGCTTAACTTGGAATGGGTATTATCGTCTCTCCTTTGAGTGGTGGCAATGGGGGTGGGGGGAGGGGGCGCCGCACTGTGGGTAGTGTGTGACCGTGGCTGTATTGTATAGTGAATATAGTTGGCATATATTTGTTTGAGGTTTGTTGGTGACTCCACCAAACTTGGTGTAAAAAAAAACAAACACAAAAAAAACAAACAAAATACAAAACACAAAAAAACTGCTTATATTTTACTCAATTTCAAACTTTATTAGTCTATATTTTTTAATTGTAAAACCAGAAAGCTGCATCTCTCTCTTTCTCTTTTTTTAAAAAAAAATTTTTTTGGTGTGTGTTTTTGTTTTTTTCTGTTTTGTTTTTTTGTTTTTTTTTTTTTTTAAATGTCATATCTGTTTCAAGTTGTTTTATACCAGGAAGGGAGTGGACCCAGGGCTGGGCTGTGTGGCACAGCAGAGATGGTGGTCACCCCCCTCCACCATCAGTGGTCCCGCCCCTACCCTTACTCCTCACCCATGACCCAGCGTGTTTTTCTCTTTACTCTTTCTTTTTTTAATTTTATAATTTGAACTGTTCACAAGGTTACGTGCCATGAGTACCCACTATACAGTACAATACTGGTGCCTCAGTGTTGGCCAAACTCTGGAGTAATTAACTGGTTTGACTTTAATACGGTGAATATGCATTTGGTCTGTACTGATCATGGAATAAACGCATCTCTTTTTTTTTAAAAGCTGGCGTCTTACTGATATTTCTTTTGAATTCTCTCCTTGTGATAGACCTGGGCCTGGAACACTAGGGTAATGGCCATGCAGGTGAGAGAAACACTTCAGTCAGCCAGGTCCTTTGCTCCTTCAACTGATGCCTCCAACCTTCCTCCAGTCCTGCCTTCCATGAATGCTGGGATGGCCTCCCAAGCCACTGCCTCCTAGGTAGTCAACACTGTATCAGAAGCCCAGGCAGAAGTGATCTGGGATGGGGCAAAAGGGATCAAAGTACCCAGAGCCCACCTAAACATAGAGAAGAATTCAGTTGGGTGGCCATGGCTCTCAGATCCAGCTGAAGCAGCAGGAACAAGTGGGATACTGGCAGAAAAGTTTCCTTTTGAAGCTGACGCATTTCTGGGGTAGTGTGGGGAGCAGCTTTCTTCCCCCGCTGCATGAGGCAGCACTACTCCCCAGACTGTTCTAGGGTGCTCAAGACACAAGGTGTTAACCAGAGGATTGGCTGCAGGTCAGCTTGGCTCTGGACCTCAAAGAAAGTAGAAGCAAAGGCCCTGCTATCCCTAGGCAAAGCTGTAGGGAGTGGGTTCTTTCTCCCCCCAACCCCCATGAAGCTCCATGGAGGCCTGACCTTCAGACAGTATTTCTTCTCTTTCTCTCCCTCCTATCCCCTTTTGTGAAAGCACTTTGGACATTTCTCCTTCCCTTTTCCTCAACCCTTACCCCCTTCCTTTAATTTTAAGCTCAGGGTTTACCAGGTACTCTTAAGTGTACATCACCTGAAAGACTGAGATACAACACACACACACACACACACACACACACACGCATGCACGCACGCACACTGTACACTCTGCACACCGGGTCTTCTCCCTCTCTCTTCTTGGGATTGTATATAAAAGTCACCGCATCCCTACCCCACCCATTTAGGGACTTACACACTTACACAAGTGCACACCCCGCTGGGACTCCCACTGAGAGTGGCCCAAGGATGTAAAATGCAAATATTATAATTTATATGTATGCAAAGAAACAAATGTATTAGTAGTGATATTTAGTCTTCCCTGTTTTATTTTTTAACAACCAAAATAAAAATGACCCTGCTTTTAAACTCTTTTTCCCTCAAATTCAGGATTTGCCAAATTCTGCAGGCTGAAGCCTGGGGGTAATTGCTTCTAGCTAGTTAGCAGGCCATGATCATCCCTGAGCCCAGGGTGCACATCTCTCTCCAGGGGTTGTGATTTTGAAGGCATTTAAGGCCCTATTGGTTCCCACATTCATCTGACCTGTTTCTTTGCTCTTTGATTTATTTTTTTTTCTTTATCTCTTATTTCCCTCTCATTTTTTCTTCTGTTTTGTTGGAGCATTTCCTAGGCCAGACAGTGCTGGAGTAATGATTGTGTGTTCTGCCAAAGGTATTGCTATCCAGAAAGTTTTTTCTCTGTTTGACTCGTTTATGTGCTTATAATTGGGTTGCAATTAGGGTGGAGCCACTACTTAATTTTTTCCCTTCACCCTACCCTGCCCATACCACGAATTCCCTTCCACCCTCCTTTCTCTAGGAATCTAGTCCCCAAGATGTACTTCTGGTTCTTCCCGCTTCTGAGTCATGTACAGGAGTATGAGAGAGAGAGACGTGTACAATCTCCCACTGTACTTGATGCACGGATGGATCGCTTGGCCAATAATTATGTCAGTGAATTTGAGGCTTGTATTAAACACTTTAGACATTTGTAGAAGGGAATTAATAGAATTTTCACTTATATACTAAAGGTTTTTTGTGCAGTTCTCATTGCAAAATAAACATTTGTACTGAATATCAAGTAACCCTTGAGGCGACTTTTTTGGGGGGATGAAGAGAACCGTGTTTGAGGGGTTCGGAGAGGCTGTGGAAGAGCAGAAGCCAGGAGGGAGGCGGACGTCACCTGGGCCCTGGATTCCTGTGACAGGGAACCCAGAGTGGGCGGTCACCTCCCTTTGTTTTTAAATCAAATTTGTATCGATTGTTTTGTCATCATTACCCGCTGTGTCGCCCTGCTCCCTCCCAGAAAGCCGTCCCTCCTGGGGAGGTGCGAAGGGAGACATGGCTCCCGCACATTTGGGACCGTGGCGGTGCACCCCTCGCTTGGCCACCTTGGGGCTTCCCGGGGGACTCCACATCTCCCGAGATTTCTCCTTCCAGAATTACGGAGGGGGTTTGATTGGCTGCTGGAGCCAAGGCCCGTGAGCCAGATCCCAGCCATTTTCATTGCTTCGATGTGACCTTTCAGGCCTTCCACTACCCAATCAGAGCTAAGAAAGGCCAAGAGAAGGGCGGGGCTGGGAACCCAGGAGGGAGCGCAAGCTGATTGCCCCGCCCGCCAGAAAAACCTGGGGAAGAGGTGGGGTTTGGTGGGGTCCGGTTGGAGGCCCCGCCCCCGGGCTGGAGCTCTTACTCCCTCGCTCCTTCCGCAGCTCCAGAGGCTGAGGACAGCTCAGCGTGCGCGCTGGAGCCTCCTGAGTCCTGCCTTGAGCAGACGCCCGAACAGCTGAGCAGCGCATCCGGGCCCCCGGTGCCCAGCGCGGCTCGGGCCCGCGAGCCCAGCGAACCACAGTTCCCTTTGGCGGAAGAGGCTCCCGGCCCCACCATGTCCGATTTCCTGGTGTCGGCGCTGCTGGCGCCCTCGCGGGCTGCGCTGAGGCTGATTCGGTTCTTCATGTGGCTACTGGTGTACGGGGGCGCGTGCTTGGCTGCTCTCGTGTATTTACTGAAGGCCCTGGGCCACGTGCTGCGGCACCCGAGGCGAGGCTGCTGCGGTCAGCCCCGCCGCAAAGCCCCGTCGTGCCTTCAAGACCCCTGCTTCGGACAGCACCATTTCCTTCACCTCAAGGTGATTTTGGCTCCGGGAGGTGGGGAGGGAGCGGGGGCCCGGCCTGGCCCGTGCCTCCCTGGCCCTCTCGGCCCTTTCCGACCAGCTGAAGGAAGAAGGGCTCAGCAAAGCAGGGAAGCCCCAAAGGCCGGGAGCAGGGGTTGCAAGGGCTGGAGGGGAGGAATGGCTTCTAGAGATCGAGAGGGAACCCCCTGGCAGCCTCTCCCCTCCCCCACCCCCCAGGAAATCTGGAATTCCCCTTGAGATATGGGTCCAAGGCAAACCCCCTTCTACACCCTGTGAATCCAACATTTAGTGCCCAGTGGTACCTCAGAAATTATCTGGGGCAACCGTGTCATCTTAGAGACTGTGACATCTAACTGATGCCCTGGGCTTCCTGGGTCCTCCTCTGGAGTTGTGGAAGAAGCTGGGCAAAGTCCAGGAGGGAGGGACCCTGACTCCAGCCTCTTTCCTCCCAGACCTCTGGCTTGCGTCTACATTATGTCTCGAGGGGTCAAGGTCCACTGATGCTGCTTCTCCATGGCTTCCCTCAGATCTGGTAAGTGGCAGGGTAGGGCAAGAGGGCCTAGAGCAGCAGCCACCCTCTCCCCACCCCCCTTCCTCATGACTTTTCTGTGTCTGATATAGCTCCTAGGACAGGTGGAGCCCTCCATGGAAACCACCTCTCTTGCTCTAGTTGAGCCAGTCCCACTGGAAGGGTTGGGGGGGAGAGATAGAGAGGGAGGGAGGTGACTCAACCATCACCTCCATCTCCTTACTGGCCCCACAGGTTTTCCTGGCGATACCAGCTTATGGAGTTCTGCCATGATTTCCATGTGGTAGCACTGGACTTGAGGGGCTACGGGAGCTCAGATTCACCAACCAACCTTAACAGCTACACCATTGATGCCCTGACAACAGACATCAAAGATGCTATTGAGGCTCTAGGTACCTTAAATCTAGGCAAAGCATGGGGGTGGGTGCCTGAAGGAACACAGGAATGGATTGGCCTTTTTACCCCCCTCCCCATTCCCCCACTGCCACCCTCCTTATGACATACTGGGTATGACATGTCCCTAGCCCAGGCCCATATTCTCAGTCCTAAATCAAGTTCTTCATTTTTACCCTTTTGATGAAATTTCAGAAGGACCACTAGAACCTAAGAGGTATGAGCCTGGAGCTCCCCTAAAATCTGGTACCTTTTCAATACTCTTATCATTCCAGAATCTTCAGCATTTTCCTAAACTTCCTCATAAATGATCAGATTTAAAGTTGTAACAAACCTTAGCAATCATCACCAGGGTTCGGAACCTTCAGCCTCCAGGCCGTATGGGGCCCTCTAGGTCCTCAAGTGTGGCCCTTTGACTGAATCCAAACTTTTGGACCTGAGGACCTAGAGGACCACATGTGACCTAAAGGCTGAAGTTTCTCCACCCCGAAGTTCTAGTCCATTCCCTTCATTTTACAAATGAGGAAAACAGATGAAGGTGCTAAAAGACTTTAGCCACATAGCTACTAGTCATCAGAGCTAGATTCAAACTTGAGTCTTCTGACTCTAAATTCAATTTGCAACCCTGCAAACATTTCCTAAGCAATCCACTACATCATCATCATCATCATCATCATCATCATAACTCGAATTTATGTAGTGCTTATTCTATAGTGCCAGATACCATTCTAGGTTCTTGGGATACAAAGATAAAATGAAAAACAGCCACTGCCTTAAAGGAGCTTTCATTCTACTTTGGTGAGACAATTTATAAACATGTGGTTTTGTACATATATTTGCATATAGACACATGCATGTATGACAGTGTATGGTTTTGTATATATATTTACATATAGACATGTACATATATGATAATATGAGAGTGGAGAGTTGACTACCAAGATGGCACATGAGCTGAGCCTTAACTGAAGCTGGAGATTCAGAGATAGAAGGTAGGGAGTGCCTCTTTGGCCTAGGGAATATTGAAAAAGCTTGGAGGTGGTTAATGTGATGCTGAATTATAGGGAATGTGAAGCAGGCCGGTTTAGCTATAATTTAAAGTGTGTTGTGAAGGAGAATAATATTAATATGCCTTTTCTTATTATAAAGGATTTTAAAACCAAGCTAAAAGTTTTTATGCTAGAACTAAGAGGGAGCCTTTTAAGCTCAAGCTTAAAATCTTGAGTAGACTTGTGCTTTACAAAGGTTTTGACAGATATGCAGAAGATGAATTGAAGAGGAACCAGATTTGAATTCATAAATTAATTTAGAAGTCTGTTGTAACAATTCCAGGCAAAAGAGGATGAGGACCTAAACTAGAGTGGTGGCTGTGTGCATGGACAAAAGGGAGTAGACATGACTTACATTGTGAATATTAAATCAAAAGATTTGGCAAGTAATTGGATGAGGGGAGGGAGGAGAGGAAGAGAGTTGAGTATGACTGAAGTGACTGGAAGGATCCCAATGCTCCCAACAGAAATAGGGAAGTTAGTAGGGAGGAGTAGGTTTTGGGAGAAAGATGAGGAGTTTCATGTTGAATTTAAGATGTCTGTGAGTTATCCAGGTGGAGATGTCCTGAGCAGGTAATTGGTTAATAACATGGGACTAGACCTCAGGAAAGAACTGGAGATGTAAATTTGGGAGGCTGCTTAGAAAGGATCGTGAGAGCTGAGGAGATTATTAAGTGATAGAAGAGAAGAGGACCTAAGACATCCATAGTTAGTTAGAAGTTTGATTACAGTCAACCTAAGGAGACTGAGAGAGCCAATAGAGAGGTGGAAGAGATTCCAGAGAAAGCAGTATCACAAAAACCTAGGGTGTGTCCAGGACCACCTGCTGTTAGTCAACAGTTTCAGGCACTGCTGAGAGAACAAGAAGGATAAGAACTAGGAAAGGGCCTATTGTATTTTATCATTTATGAAATCATTGGTAACCTCAGAGCAGTTTCAATTGGTGAAGGCAGTAGCCCCTTGTATGGGAGTGGGAAGTGAATAAGAAAAGGGGAAGTGATGGCAACAGGTGTGGGTGGCTTTTTCTAGAAGCCTGATTATAAAAAAGACAGAGGTATGGGATGGTAAATCCTTAAGGAGAAATAAGCATCAGAGAAGGTAGTAGATAGACAATTGGAAAAGGGTGCATGAATGAAAGAGTGAGCTCCCAAGGGAGACAGGAGAGGATGGGTTCAAGTGCACAAAAAGAGGGGTTAACCTTAGCAAAAAGTGAAGTGTAGTATGTAGTTGAACTTATTAACTATAGGGTTTAAATTTAAAAAAAAAAAAAGGTGAGACTTAAATAGTGGTGACACACTGAGAGAACAGAGGGTTAGAGAGACTGGAGGTCCCAATGGGAATGAAGAATAGGTTTAAATTCTAGAAGGAGTAAGATAAAGGGTAAAGTTGGAAAAATAGAAAGTCATGGTTATAGAGAGGAAATTCAAGAGTTCTGGACCAAATCATGGGAATAGGGGATTGATTAATTGGGAGGCCATGGTGTTTGAGGACATGTATATTGACATTCCCTGACAAGGAGGGTAGGTGGCAGAGGGAAACTGAGCCACTGAATTCCTTGAGAAAATAGGGAGATTGATCTGCTACTTGAAGATGACTGCTATCAAAGTTCAGATAGAGGGACAGAGATGGAAGGACTGGGCCTAAAAGGAAGAGAAGTTGCTAAGTGATGGTAGCAAAGCACAGGTCTGAGAGGGATCCGGAGTATGCCTAGCCTTCTTCCTGACCTAGTGTCAGGGACCATGAAAGAAGGTAATCCCAGGACTAAAGGGGATGCCCAGGAAGACAGTAAAGCCAAGTTTCTATAAGGGCAAGAAGATAAGGAGTATGAGAAGGAGAGGTCCTAGATAAATAGCTTATTAATGATAGAGAGGAACTGCCAGAAGGCACAGTGCTAATGAAATAGGGCAGAGCCAGAGGAGAGATGAGAGAGCAGGGAATGGTGACAGAGAATGTAATTTCACCTTTGTGGATGCAAAGAAAAGCAAAAAATAGTCCCTGCCCTCAAGCTCACAATCTAACAGTAAGGACAACAAACAAACAGTATGTACAAACAAGCTCTGTACAGGTTAAGTAAGCAATAATCAAGAGATAGAAGGCACTATCAACAGCCCCAAAAAGGGGTTGGGAAAGGCTTGTTGTGGAAAGTGGCATTTTAGTTGAGATTTAAGGAAAGCCAAGAGGTGGAGATGAGGAGAGAGAGCATTCTAGGCATGGGGGACAACAGTGAAAATGCCTGGAATTAGGGCATGTGATGTCTTGTTGAAGGAAGAGCAAGGAGGCAAGTGTCACTGTGTCAAAGAATACGTAGAGGTTATAAAGTGTAAGAAGACTGGAAAATGGGGGGGGGGGGGCAGCAGCTAGGTTATGAAAGTCTTTGAACGCCAAACAGAAGATTTTGTATTTGATCCTAGAAGTAATAGGGAGCCATTGGAGTTTATGGTGTATGTGGGTTGTTGTTTTTGTTGTTGGTCAGTCATGTCTGACTCTTCATGACCCTATTTGGGGTTTTCTTGGCAAAGTTACTGGAGTGATTGGCCATTTCCTTCTCCACCTCATTTTACCAATGAGAAAACTCAGGCAAACAGGATTAAGTGACTTGCCCAGGGTCCCACAACTAGTGTCTTGAGGCTGGATTTGAATTCAGGTCTTCCTGACTCCAGGTCCAGTGCTGTATCCACTGCACCAACTAGCTGCCCGCAAGAGTATGGGGATGACATGGTCACGTTGGCACTTTAGGAAAATCACTTAGAACCACAGAGGTTAAAGTAACAAGGAGAAAGAAGTACCATTTGATTGGGACTATTGCCTGCAAGCATGATACTATTATGTATACTTTTAGACCCCAGGGAAGAAGAGAGATTGGAATGGTTACCTGGAATAGTAAGGAATTGACAATCAGAACCCCAGGGGCCTTACTGAACTCATTTCAAATCAATTTCTTTGCTGCTTCCTAAGATAGCAGAAAACGAATGGTGCAATTAGAAGTTTTCTTCTAGGCTGTCTAGATACTTGATTCATATGAAGGCCCAAGGCTTTGTTTATTCTCTTCCAACATGGTAGCTCCTCCCACCTTGGCTTGGTAGTAGTGGAGGGTCATAGAGTTGTTGACTTACTTCATCCTCTTTATGGCTGAGGCTCTATTATTTGTCAGAGTTCTTATAGTAAGAGTTTCTACTAATGGTTAGGGAGGGCTAAATCACTGGTTTTCTTTGCCCTTCCCAACTCATGTCCTTTCTATTATGTCTTCCACCTCAATCTCCTAATTTTACCCCTATCCTACCCTACCCTACCCACACCCCAATTCCCTACACCATTCATTCACAGGTTACTCCAAATGTGTCCTGGTGGCCCATGACTGGGGTGGAATCTTGGCCTGGAATTTTGCCATCTACTACCCGAGTTTGGTAGAGCGCCTGGTGGTGGTGAGCGCTGCCCCTATGTTTGTTTACCAAGGTAGGTGCTAAGATAGGAGGACATTCAGAGGGAGGGTGGATTGACCAGGCTTACTGGTAGGGAGTGGATGCTGAGTTCTGAGCCTGAGGTGTTCCCCCCTCCCCAAGGGGTTTGGTATGGGTGGTTCCCTTACTTTTTCTCCTTCTCCTTCCCCTTCCCAGAGTATGCTCTGCACCATCCCAGCCAGCTCTTGCGCTCCGGTTATGTGTTCCTGTTTCAGCTACCCTGGTTACCTGAGAAGCTGCTTTCTATCTCTGACTTTCAGGTCCCATCCCTTCTTCCCACTTAGTGAAAAGGGGCAAAAGCTAGCAGGGAGTTGTGGAGGAGGGAGAGTAATGATGTTGTGGAAGTGGGGAGGGAAAGGGGGTACTGAGATGGGAAGACTGATTCTCAGAGGTGTCTGGAGGGCGTTTGAAATGAAGAGGGATGCATGTGTACAGATCCTCAAGGATGCCATGACCCATCCTATGACCGGAATCCGTGGCCTTACAGATGATGAGCTAGAGGCCTTCCTGTACAGCTTCACCCAGAACCACGGCCTTATTGGCCCCCTCAACTACTACCGAAATCTTTTCAGGTGATGCCTTTGAGGAGTGGGGGCAACTAGAAAAAGAGGAGATTGATTGTGGGAAGGATGATAGAGTGATTTTAAGGAGAATGCAGTGAGGGGAAAATTTGAAAGAGTAAGGCATATTTAGAGAGTCGAGGCATATTTAGGAACAAGAAGGGATTGAGGAAGTTATTGGCCCTAATGAATGTCATACATCTCTTTACCTTACAGTCACTTTCCACTAGAGCGTCAGGAGCTGACAACACCAACATTGTTGTTATGGGGGGAGAAAGACCCATACCTGGAGGCTGGACTTGTGGACAGTATTAACAGATACTTTGTGCCAGGCCGCCTGCTGTCCTATGTCCTTCCTGATGCTGGCCACTGGATCCCCCAGGCACAGCCAGAGCAGATGCATCACTACATGTGGGCCTTTTTAAAGAGGTTCAAGGCATAGTCATGACTCTTCCTCCAGACATGAACATTCTGGTTTTCTGCTCCCACCAAAGCTCACTCAGGACACAGGAAGAAATGGAGCAGTACTTGAAGCAAGCCAGCTTTTGACTGGAATGTGGAAGCATCCTCCCTCTCTAACTCCTATGGTTTATGCTTCTTTCCACGTTTCCCCATAGATGCCCAACGTAATCATCCCCACCCTTAGTACTTATATTGTCCTTCCTGTATCCCCTCAATTCCTGGCTGGCTGGCCCCAGTTGAGCCCCTGTTAAATTCTGGAAGCTCTTTTCTCACTGCTACAGAGAAAGGATCTCCTGTGGAAAGAAAGGGTCCACTGTAACTGTGGACAGAAATGTGCCCAGAAATAAATCTCCCATTCCCTGTCCTACTGTAGGCCTCTTTCCTTCCGTCTGGGGCCTCAGCTCAAGGACAGTTTGGGATCAGGGGCAGGGCGCTCCCCAATGCCTTTGCTTTGTTCTTTGAGACAGTGAGAAACCTGTTTCTCTCTGGAGCTTCTTTGGATTGCCCATTGTCCTGGGTGCTTAGGTTCATTCTTCCTGGGCCTGCCCTGTACCTTTCCTTGTCCCTGTTTCTTAGGACTTTTACTTTTCAGCATAGCAAGAAAAGCAGACCAGAGGCCAGGAGTATTGAAAGAAGGACCTTTAAGAACTCCCCCTCCTACAGAAGTAGCTGGAATGATATAGGAGAAAACCACATGTGAAAGGGAGAACTATGGAGTGAGGTAGAGAAAAGGATGGATTAATGTCAGAGATGGAAGTGAATTGAGAGCACTTGGAGCCCTTGGTCACCTTGATTATGTAATTTACCCTATAGTTTAAAAGTGCAAAATGGAGCTCATTTGAGTTTCCCCAAATCACCCCTCTTCTGGCTAGGGAATGACAAGGGCCAGTTGGAAGGAGGAAGTTACAGGGAATATCAGAGATCCCTGAAAGGGATAATGGTTACGTAACAGAACAGGGCTAGAAGGTAATGAAGGGACCACAAGAAGGTATTTGAGCTTCAGTGGGAAGAAAAATCAAGTGGAGAGTATCTAAGTTATCTGAAATTCCTGCTTGAGAACTTCACCCAGAAGAGTCTGGAACAGCTCTTGTTTCTATTAGGTCTTGACAGAAGAGTACTATTTTCCAGTGAAGGGCCACTGAGTGAGATTCTCATCATGAAAATCATATTATGGGCCAACCACAATAAATTTAGCCTTGCTTAGGCATTCATAGTACAAGAAACAGGCATGACAAATATTTGTCATTAAAGCTTTGAAGACTGCCAACGAAAGTGACAAAGGACTTGAAGACCGTGCTTCAAGCCAGTATAAAGACAAGATTTTTCCATTGCACAGAGTTTGGGGCTATGCTAGTACCAAGTAGCCATGTGTTTCCACAAAATACATATTCTGTGTCCTAAAGAAGATGAAAAGGCTGGAGGAAAGCATCTCCACTCCAAAGGTTTCAGGAAGAGTGAAATCTTTCTTGAAAGAATGGAAGAAATACTTCCAAGAAGAAACACAAAGGAATACTGATGATCATCAAAAAGTTTCAAGGTGGAAGAATATGATACAAGAGAAGAAGGGTCACAGCGGTGATTGGTACCTCTTCCCATAGAGGGGACAACTGGACCATCTCTCGGGAGGAAGCAGTTTCTTGTGCCCCAAGTGACTGATACCATCTGAAGAGAGATTTTGTAGTGATTGTGCCTGATATTCTTAAGTGGCAGCCCTGATGGCCAGTACCCATTCATGACAGTTCATGTGGAAATAAATGATATTTTAATAATGAACCTAAAAGGTATTCCTAAAGATTACGTAGTCACATACAAGAAAATGAAGAGTTTAGGGCACAGGTTATGCCTTCATCACGGTTGCCACGGATCTGTATTGGAGCAGCAGAGGTGCCCCCATGTCTCTTTTTTCCCCCCATATCTCTTGCAAGCTGGAAGTGAGTTACACCATCCCTTAATTGTTTCCAGAACCATGGATTCCACTGTTACTGTCTCAGGGTATTGAAGGTGTTGGGTGACACGATGGCACATAAGTCTTCGATGCCAAAAGAAGTAAAAAAGAAAGTGCAAGAAGGCTGTGTTCTGCCTGAGTAAAGACACAAAGAACATTGCACTGGAGAAGGGTCAAGAGACCCTTGTAGGTAATTAATGTGAGACAAACTGCACTAATTCACTTTTATCAAGATTCTTCCAGACACGGCCTATCATTATAAATTTTATGATATTATCTGTGAGACCACGGAAAATAAGAAAGAGGCCCTGGTGTTCATTTTCTGGGCAGCTGAGTGTCCACTCGTGAAAAGCAAAGTCACCTATGTAAGTTCAAGGATGCTGTCAAGAAGAAAAAGCAGGAATCAAGTATGCATTTTAAAGTTTTTAATTGCCAGTTGAAAGTAGGGGCTTCTGAAGAGAGTCTGGTCTGAGGATACACACAACTAAGAAAATAGAATCTGAGACTGGAATTTTACTTCTTTGATCATGGCTTAAACTATAGGAAGGATAGTCTACTCACAAGAGATGGGATTAAACCTAACGTTATTTGGAAATGTTTTTGGCCTGAGGTATTTTAAACTGAAAATGAATAAGAGGGAGAAAACTTCCTTCGAACATATGTGAAGCCAGCAATGAGACCCATGACCCTTGATGACAATATATTAATGTACAAAGTATGGATAAATTATATGGTAAACTAGAGATCCTAATACAAGGAGGTAAATTTAATTTCTTAGATCTCACTGAAATTTGGAAAATGAAAGTCATGACTAGAATGCGACTCTAGAAGGGTATACTAATATCCAAAAAAGAGAAGAGCAACAGAACAGTATAGTAGCATTAAATATTATGAATATATTTTTTGTAAAGGAATCTAGGAACCCAAGTTGGTAAATCCTACTGGAATGAATTTGGGTGATAATCAGTGAAAGAAAAATTGATATTATGGGAGTATACCATAAACCACCTAGACAGAAGGGAAAAGTTTTGGAAACACAAGTCTAGCAGTAAAGCCTGATATAGTAATTTGAGACTTCAAGTCTGGACATCTGCTGAAGCTCTCTGCCAAAAGCAGAATGTTACACATTCTTGACTTGCTTTAATAGTGATAATTTCATTCTTCAAAAGGTGGAGGAAGCAGGAACTACTTTTCCAGAGCTAATTCTGGCCAGCAAAGAGAAATAGGTTTTTAAAAATGGAAATGAACCTTGAAAGAGCAAGTAACCATCTTGGAATTTATGATAAGGAAGGAAGGGAAGCCAATGACTAGTTTTATATATACCTTAAATTTGAGAAGGGTGAGTTTTCAGAAAAAGGAAACGTAGAATCCAACGTTCTGAAATTCTACAAAGGAATTTTTTTTTTAGGCAATTGGGGTTAAGTAACTTGCCCAGGGTCACACAGCTAGTAAATGTCAAGTGTTTGGTCTGAGGTCACATTTAAACTCGGGTCCTCCTGACTTCAGGGCCGGTGCTGTAGCCACTGCACCACCTAGCTGCCCCACTACAAAGGAATTTAGCTTAAAAGAGAAAGGAAATTCTGATGACAGAATTCTCTTAGTGAGAAAAAAAAAGCTGTAGGAGGGACTGTTAAAAAAAAACCTTATGAATAAATGAATGAAAAAAGTATTACATCCTTGCTATGTGCAAGGCACTGTGTGGTAAAACAACATATGACTCCACAGAGCCTATTGACCAGCTTGGATTTTTAGGAGACACAAAATCAAAGCAAGGACAAGTAACTGAGGATGAACACCAAAAAAAGTGGCAAATCCTGTAAGGCTGTTAGGAGCTGAAAACCCCCAGAAAGCTGAAGTTTATAATGACAAACAAACAAAAATTTTTTTAAGCTTTTTATAGGTAGGTACTCAAATGTCACCATTTCTGTAATAGCCTGTTTTTATCAGACAAATGAAGCACTGCATCTGGACCCTAACACGTCAGTCCTAAGCACATCAGGAACTGAAGTGTTTGTTGAAATAGCACTTAAGACAATGAAATCACAATGAGCCGCTGAACCAGATTGAGTACACACCAAGGAAATCTTTGCTGAAGCATCTTTTTACAAGATAACCCCAAGAAAGGGGAAGAAAGAATGGTTATTCACGACATTAATATCCAAATAAGATAAACAAGTGGAGATGTACAACAATCAGTAGCTCCCAACCTGTATGCAGGCTTTTGTGTGTGTGTGTGTGCTAATGAAAATTTTATGATAATCTATGAATATATATAAATTTGAGGCAGACAGGGTTTTGTGAATGATTTTCTATAGTAAATCATATCTTTGCAGTACACAATTGCCTGAAAAATGAAGCACAAAAGATTTGCATTTTCCATTTGATTCACAAAAACAATCTGCCTTGACACTAACATTCAGTGACCCTCTTATTAGTGCTAAAATGCTCATTGTCCAGAGTAAGGCATTCATTTGGATTGTCAGTCCTTTGATTAGCCCATCGGAAGTAGTTCTGAGACAGGCACTACAGATAGACAATTAGTTGGGCCCAAAATTGGATGAAGAGACTGTTGCTTATTAGGAATTATGCAGTGCTTTCAATAATTCATACTGATTTGGGGCACAACAAAATCCCCCTTTTTTTTTCTCCCATACAAATGTTCTGCTGATGCTGCGTGGTTGTCAAACAGCCCCTGCTTTCTGGGATCTTACTGCTGGGAGTGAAGTGGGAGTCAGATGATGCAACATGTACACAGTTGATGGCAAGCATAGCAGGAAGTATATAGCAAGATTCTTTCACCACTCACCCCAATTAAAAAAAAAAACTCTAGAGCTAGAAAACACGAACCTGAATCCAGATTGGGAAATTGAAGAACGTTTCTCACCCAGGTTGGCATAAGGAGATGGGTCTGCATACACTGGGAATGGAGTATAACCAGGAACACACTGCAGAGCAGGGAGAGGCTGTGCCCTGAGGCGAGATCCCAGAGCAACCTAGCCAGGGCCCTGAACTTCTGTAGGATACAGAAACAAGTGCCAATTGGCAGTTCTTTTTATCGCTACCCAGTTTCTGGTCTAGGTTCAAGATCTAGGGTGGAGTGAGGAGGGGAGTTGCACCATTCCAGAGTGTGGAGCAGTTATGGACCCCAGTCTGTACTGAGCAAGGAACAAGTTCAGAAGCAGGCAGCAACTCTGTGGCTTGGGATTGCAGCCTGTGTCTCTGTTCCACATTATAACACGGTCTGAAGCCTACAGAGAAATAACCATGGCAGGAATCCTAGACCAAAAGAAACCCTGCAGTTGGATCACCCAACCAGAAAAGTTTCCCAGCTGGCTGATAGTGATTGAGTTTCAGCTATGTAGTCTGCTGAAATTCTAAATGGAGCAGGTCCACTGGCCTATTGTTCAGACCCAAGCTGAAGTAAGGAACTTGCATAACTCAGTCCAGGAGAGCAGTGATCATACTTTGCCCCTGGATCAGACCAGTTTGAGGACATTGAAAGCTTCCAAGTCCCCAGCCTGAGCTTTCCTTGAGATCTTGGAACACAACAGTCAATGCCCCTTCAGATTTGACATTAGGACCAGCCCAGCATTTCCTCCAGAAATGTGCAGAGCCTAGCCTTAACCTCAAATCTGAAGTCAGAAAGTAGGCTGACCTTTTTGTAAAGGAAAAAAAAAAAACCCACTTTATTATGGGACATGGCACAACCCCTGAAGAAGAAAGTGACTCCCAGACATCTACAAGGAAAGCCTCAAAGGAAAGCAACTTGGACATAAATTCAACTAGAGTTCCTGAAAGAGATGAAGCAACAGTTCTTCTTAAAGAGTGTAAAATTTTTTTTTTATAAATGAGAGCTCTAGGGTTTTGTTTTGTTTTGTTTTGTTTTTAAGGAATGGGCTGTGGAAGAAAGAATTGGAAAGGGAATTAGCAGGTTGGCACAAGAGATTAAAAAAAAAAATTGCCCAAGCAACAAAGTCCCTGCAAATAAAAATGGACCAAATAGAAGCTAATAATTTTATTCAACAGTAAAAAAAATGTTAAAGTTGAAAGACTGGGGGGGAAATAGAATAAAATTTAAGGTATAGCAAAATCAACTGACCTGGGGAAGAGAAAATTTAAGAATCAGTGGACTAGTTGGGAAGATGGCAGAATAAGGCAAGAAAATGCCTAGCTCTCTCGAACCCCCCTCCAAATAAAAATGCCTCAAATTGAATTTTTGAGCATAAAAATAAAAATAATAAATAAAGTTGGGGTAAAGCAGTATGCAGCCAAAGACAACTTAGGAGGGTGTTAGGAAAGATCTGACCTACTGGAGTGGTGGCCTGACCAAGGAATGAAATGGAGATACCACCCCATCAACCAACAGCAAGCTGTGGGAGCAGCTGTGTTGGCTGCTGCTTAAGAGACTTTGACCCCACAGATTGGTTGGGGGGGGGAGGGGATTCTGGTGGCTGGTCAGGGGAAGATTGTAGGGCATTCTGCTGGCACTGGATACCAGACCTAAACAGAATGTAGTCCCAAGCTATGGTTTCAGGGAGAAGCAAGCATGGTCACAGAGAGGTAGGGCCCTGTTCACAGTTCCAGAATGGAGAGGACTACTTGTGGACAATCGCAGGAGAGCAAAGCCCCTTGTTTTGGTTTCAGGGCAGAGGTTAACTGACACTTGTAGCTGGAAGAACGAAGACTGGTGGTGCAACGTTTGCAAACCACAGGAAGTGAGAGTGTTTGTGGTAGCAGTGGTGTGGGGCCCTGGTTGTGGCTTAGAGATAAAGAGGAGTACTTGAGGTCACTCATAAACCAAGGTGTAAGTCAGAAGAACAGTGAGCACACCTGACTTTGCATCATAGCACCTTGGAAGAATAAAAAAGCCAAAGACTCCAGATAGAGCTCTGAAAACAACAACGCAAAAAAAGTGAAGCCTGAAATGTTAAACCATACACCCTAGGAGCAGAGCCTGACCCTAACATAAAGTTACCAACCAAGAAATAGACTTTAACTATATATATAAGCAATCAGAAAAATGACCTGACTACAGATAGTTTTTATGGTGATAGGGCATCAGGGTTCTAACTTAGAAGAAGACAAAGTCAAAACAGCTACTTGTAAAGCTTTAAAGAAAAATGCAAAGTGGCCACAAGCCCAAAAAGAATTCTTGGAAGAACTTAAAAAGAACTTTAAAAATCAAATAAGAAAGGCAGAGGAAAAAACTAGAATAGAATATTGTAGGAAAATTATGAAAAGAAAGTAAATGTATTGGGAAAAGAGATCTAAAAACTTACTGAAGAAAACAACTTAAAAATTAGAATTGGACAAGGGGAAGATAAGACATTAAGAAATAATGAAATATCTCACTGGAAAAGTAGCAGGACAAAATAAACCTGCATAAATGACCAGCATTTCTATATATTACCAACAAAGCTCTGCAAGAAGAGATAGATAATAAGAGGTAGTTCATTTAAAATAACTGTAGACAATATAAAATACCTGCCAAGACAAACCCAGGAACTATGTAAACAGAATTATAAAAACACTTTTTATACAAATAAAATCTGATTTAAATAATTGGAGAAATATTAATTGTTCATGGGTAGGCCA